TTTTTTTCAAGTTTATTAAAATAATAAGGAATAAATCTTATAAATTAAAAAGTTAAATGAAAATAAAATTAAAAAAATTATAATTTCATAAATTATCTCAAATAAAATAAATAATAATTAAAATAATAGAGTTCAAATCTAAAAAATAAAAGATTAAAAAATAAAATAATAATAATTAACATTTCATAAATTATTTCAAATAAAATAAAATAAAAATAAAGATCAAATTTGATAGATAAAAAATTTAAATATAAAAATAGTAAGGAAAAAACAAATAACAATTATAAAAATCAGGATCAAAGTTAATATAAAATTAAATTGTAAGAGATGAAATTGAAATATAAATATTCAAAACAAAATATATATAACAATCAAAAGTTTGAGAACCAAATTTGATATAATTAACAAATAATATGACATTTCTAAATTCTTCACAACTTTCAGAAAGTGTTTTCCGTTCAAATTTTTCAAGAAAATATTTTCCTGGAAACTAAACTAAATTTTTCTTTGATTGGAAAGTGTTTTCTGTTAACCAACTTTTATAATAATAAACAAATATAAAAAAGTTTGGAAAGTAGTTTTTGATGAAAGTGGTTTTCTAGAAACCACTTTCTAGGAAACAAACATAGTTTAAAAAAAAATACTTTCTTGAAAACCAAGGTTGTGTTTGTTTTCTAGAAAGTGGTTCATCGAAAATTACTTTCTAAACTTTCATGTGTTTATTTGCCATTAGTAAATTTGGTCAACGGAAAACACTTTTCAGTTAAAAAAAAATTTGGCTTGATTTTCAGAAAAGTGTTTTCCTAATAAAGCTAAGCGGAAAACACTTTTCGAAAGTTGTGAAAAATTTAGAAATGTCATTATATGCTGATTATATCAAATTTGATCCTCAAACTTTTGATTACTATATATATTTTGTTTTGAATATTTATTTTTTAATTTCATCCCTTAAAATTTATTTTTTATATTAACTTGGATCCTTATTTTTATAATTACTATTTACTTTTTTCTTATCATTTTTTTATTGAATTTTTTTATATATCAAATTTGGTCCTCATTCTTTTGATTGTTACTTATTTTATTTGAAATAATTTATGAAATATTAATTATTATTATTTTAATTTCTTCATTTTTTAATTTTTTATTTGATTTATATTATTTTAATTATTATTTATTTTATCTGAGATAATTTATGAAATTATATTTTTTTCAATTTCATTCTCATTCAACTTTTTAATTTGTAAGATTTATTCCTTATTATTTTAATAAACTTGAAAAAAATAAAACATTAATAAGTTATTTTCCAGCTTATTTTTCATAACATAACCAAACACTGGAAAGTGTTTTCTAACTTATTTTTCATTACACTATCAAATATCAGAAAATACTTTCCTGAAATTCACTTTCCCCGGAATTCACTTAAAAAAAAATACTTTACAACAAACAAACGGGGCCCAAGCCAAATTTTACTTTCTTGAAAACCAAGCTAAATTTTTTCTTAACTAGAAAGTGTTTTTCATTAACCGGAAAGTATTTTCTATTGACTAACTTTTTTAATAGCAAACAAACACAAGAATGTTTGGAAAGTGGTTTCCCAGAAACCACTTTCAAGGAAACAAACAGAGCTTTAAAATTAATAAATACTGACCTAAACCAATCTGTATGGATAAAAAAATATTTTGTTTGGGTTTAAAAAATATACCCAACTTGAACCTGAACTACATTATATAAATAACCTTAAAGTTTGAGAAAATTACATTATACAAAGTGTACATAAATAAAAATTTAGGGGTTTTTCACACACTTTCCTTTTTAACCTCCACTTTTTAGCCACCTCCTCTCTGCCTTCTGTAATGATCTCTTCTTAGCTTAATTTTTATGCAAGTCCGTCAAGTATATTATATAAGCAGTTGTTATTCAAGCTGGTTAGCTAGTTGCAATTATAAACTAGTTGTTCGGGTATAATAAATCAATAAGTCAAATCTATATAAACTTATGTTATTTTTATTGTTATTGTTGTCGTGCCTTGCGTGTGGTGCTGTCGAGTGATGACGACGGGTCTAGCTCCTAAGAAGATGTGCTGCAAATGAAGTTTTGGGTATAATCACTAAGTTACATTTACTTCTTTATATTTTTAATACTCGAGGGTATGTTTTATTGTGTATCTTTACACCCCTAAATAGAGTTACATTTACTTCTTTATATTTTTAATATTTGAGGGTATGTTTTATTGTGTATTATTACACCCCTAAATAGTAAAGTCTATAGCTAAACCCTAACACTTTAAATGTAAAGTAAACAAAATGATTGATGAAGGTTTTTTCATATTTTTGGTCGAACCCTAATAAAGAATTATAAACTAATTACGATATCAAATTTTTCATTTTAAAAAAATTAATTTAGTTTAAGGACTTAATTATATTATTAATAGATCAAATTAATTTTATCAGAGATTTAATTAGTGAAAAAATAAGCGTGGGAGCCCAATTTAGGCTTAATCGAAAAGATTGGAATTTTAAAGGACCAAACTTATTTTTTACGAAGTCAATTGATTTAAATTAAGGATAAAATAACAAGAAAATCAAAGTCTATGATCAATTAAAGATTAAATTGAAGAAATTCATAATCAAGAACATTTTTGAAAAGGCACTAAACTTTGAGGACTCATTTCGGTTGAAAACAAGGGTGAAATTGAAACAAATTGAAAGTTTAATGGTTAATTGAGAGTCAATTTGTATAAATCCGAAAGCAATGATCAAAATGAAAAGGCACTGAAATTTAAAGTTGATATTGGAGTTTGGCGAGGGTAAAATCACATAAAATTAAAAGTTGAAAGTCAATTAAGAATCTTATTAAAAGAATTTAAAAGCCAAAAGACTAAATCAAACTTTAGTCAAATCCCTAATTAAAACCCTAAGAATATCAAAACAACGTCATTTCATTTAAATAATGTCAGACGACTTGTCATTTACCTATTATTCATCATCTTTAAATTTTTAACGCGAAATGCCGCTTAGGTAGCTACTTTTAATGAAGATGTAACGTTTCATCTCTACACCAAATAAGACAAACAAAACATCACTCTGATGGACTGATATTGTGCTACACCCTAACGTAATTCTTAACGGTCGGTTGCCTCTATAGCCATCATGGCACTGCCCCAAAAAGACCAATTCAATTCGCCTTTAGTAGTTAAATTTCATAGCTCATGATGATGATTTTGAGCTAATGGTTGAGATTCTTTCCATATGAATTAATGGTCAAAATTTATCCCCAATAAAGACAAGATGTTTCTTTTTCAACCCCTATAAATATGAGTGAATTTTAAGCATTAGATAAAAAGAAAACAAAGAAAGAGAAAGTGAGAAAAAACCCAACTCTCCCTAGTTTTTATTTGTGAACATCTTTCTTCTCCATTTTCTTTTTAGCCTTATGCCTTTACACCCTCATTAACAACAGTCTTCTCTATCAACAACCATGTACCTCCTTTACCAACTCTTCATCTCCACCTCTTTTATGAACAACCATGCAACCATAAGCTTATTCTTCTTTCTCTACACAATAATCTCCAATAATGGTGTTCAGATAAATTTTGTACGTGATGGAATTATAGATAATTTAATAGAATAATAAAAAAAATATTTTATATAAAATATTATTTATTTCATAATATAATAACAGTAATTAAATCTACAATATGTAAATTAAAAACCATCAATATTAATACATATCCTTTTATTTTATAACTTCAATTTGAAAAATATTCTTAAATAAATATTTTTATTTAATTTTAATTTTAACTATATTTTTAATCAATTTCAATTAAAAATATTTTTTATAAAATATTTTTTTTAAATCACAACTACAAAAATTAGTTCAAAAATCTCCCAAGCTTATCAACCAGCGTATGTAATCTTTCGAGGTTTTCTCCAACTTTGTTAATAACTATTTCTCACACTTTTTTTTTTGGTGCAATAGTGTTTTATTGTTGGGTTTACGCATGTTACCATCACATTATTGTGATATTGACACGCAAATCTAATACCCATTCCTTGATTGTCCAGCA